AAAAAAAAAAAAAAAAAAAAAAAGTGGTCTGGAGCCAGAAGGCAAAGACAAGGGCACTGGAATTCCACTGCCGCTCATTTCCCAGTTCAGGGTAGAACTAGGAAATGCCAGTCACCAGCTTCTAGTTTGAAGAGAAATGCCACCCGGAACTAGAACTAGGAAGTGCCAGTCACTAGTTTCTAGTTTGGAGGGAATAATTTATTCCTGAGAGTAGAGGGAGAGGAAAGGAGGAGTGACGTCACCAGTCTACGGTTTTGAGGTATGTCTGCCCCTGAAGAGCAAAGCTAGAAAGGGCTTGAGTCAGAAACATCAGTAGAAAACACCAGGACTCAGAGAATGACCCAGACACAGGGCAGCACGCCCTGCCAACCCGGAACTCCTCAGTGGTGATATCACACTCGAGTAAGGGCAGGGGGGCAAAAGCCAGCATTCTGACCCAGGTTTCCCTCTCTCCCCTGTGGTTACCAAAAGTTGACCTACCCACACTCACCTCCACCGTGTCTCTCCCTGCCTGGTAGACAGCTGAACCTTTTCTAAGGGACAGGTTTTCTAGGGAAAGGGAGGCTAGCACTCTGGGTCATCAGTTTCATTTCTCCCAAGTCTAGCTCTTCTATTGTCTACCCTTCGGATCCCTGCCCCGCAGGGTCAGGGTTTCCCCTCCATTAGGTTCCGGAGTTGGGGCTGGGCCTTTGCCTGACTTGTGAGTCGTATTGTACCTTTTCTACTTCCTCCCTGACAGCAGAGCCCACAGTGAGGAGCAGCCCTGGAGGAACAGGGAGAACATGTGAGCAACCGATACATGCCTCTCAGGGGGCAGAATATACACTAGACACCCAAGAAAAAGCTTCTGCTTTGTGATTTTTGACTCTGACCATTTGGGATTTCCCTGCTTCCTTTCTGACCTACTCTGCTAGGGACAGTACTCTGGCACAAAATCCAAAGGGGCTAATAGCTGTCCAACAATAATCCCTTCATGTATATATAATGTAATTATTATGCTGGTTGATCCTCATGAAAGGGTGGGACAAGTATTATTAATCCTATTTTATAGATGAAAAGACTGAGCTACTGCCTAAGATCACAAACAAGGCAGCTACTGCCTAAGAAACCAAGCTAGAACACAGGTGTGCTGGCCTGGCTCTCATTTCCATCTTCATTTACACTAACCAAATCACTCCCCTTCACCAACCCCACCCCACATCTAGCCTGATTTAAAAGTTACAGGGTCAGTTCCTCCATCCCCTGGACATGCCACTTCCCAGGACCCACTGTCCTAACAGGCTAATAAGACATCATCTCAGGTTCCCTCTGCACTACTTTGGCTTGGTTCCCTGAAGACACCTCCAAGCTGCAAATGGTGCTATCATAAACCTTCCAGTGCCAGTATATGATTATTTCAGGATTATCATAAATAATATAGGAAATTCGAGGGAGAGAAAAAAAAAGGAAGCAGTGGCAAAGGATAGGGAGGAAGCAGCTCCAGGAAGCTGTTAACCCTGACAAATAACTATCACAGACAAAAACTGTTACAGTCACTCACCCAGAAGAAACTTCCAGGCTTAGGGGGAAAATACTGGCACAGTACAAAGGTTGGAGAAATCTTTAGTACAGAACCACAGTACTAAAGAGTTCTTTAGTACCAGAACCACTGAACCAAAAATTGACTGTGGGTATCACTAGCAGTTCTAAAATACAGGCAGAAGTAAAATAGGTAAGGGGTAGGGAAAAAAGGGAAATTGAAGAAAAGGAAAATAGAAGAGCAGAATAAAAGGGAGACATGGCCAGGCACGGTGGCTCACACCTATAATCCCAGCACTTTGGGGGGCTGAGTTTGGCAGATCACTTGAGGTCGGGAGTTCGAGACCAGCCTGACCAATATGGAGAAACCCTGTCTTTACTAAGAATACAAAATTGGCTGGGCTTGGTGGCGCATGCCTGTAATCCCAGCTACTCAGGAGGCTGAGGCAGGAGACTCGCTTGAACCCAGGAAGTGGAGGTTGTGGTGAGCCGAGATAGTGCCACTGCACTCCAGCCAGGGTAACAAGAGCAAAACTCTGTCTCCCAAAAAAAAAAAAAAAAAAAGGTGGGGGGAGATGTGAATGAAGAAGCCAGAGGGAAAGTAAAAGTTTAAAGGTAGGTAAGATAGTAAATTCTGAAGCAGTATCTCAAACAGTTCTTGTGCCATAGAGTGCCTGAGATGCTGGATCCAAGAATGGGAAAAAAACAAAAAACAAAAAAAAACAATGCAAATCAAGAGAGTTTGGTTCCATTCCCAGGTTCCACCCCCTAACTCTATTGTCAACCTGGAAAAGTCATTCCCCTCTGGGACCCTTATCACTAAAATAGAAAGAGGACCAGATACGCCTCTGGTCCAATCTCCCCCAAGAGTTTATGTTTTTGTAATGAGGGACAAATGAGCAGTCAGTCCACGTAAGGGCAGGGAATCTACATCTGCCCTTCAAAAACTTAGCAAAATTAATTGCCTTTACAACACAGTGATTACAATACTGATTGTAATCATTCATTTATTTTACACTTTCTAAAACAAGAACCTTGGGGGTTGGGGGAGACTCACATATTGACACAACTACTCACAAAAAGACACACACAGACACTCAAGAATCAGACGGATAAACATACAGGTGCTGCCACAACAGGCTGACTAACGCACAAACCAACCGACTACTCGCTCAGCCCCACACAAACACATCTAGAGACAGAGGCATGCCCTAGCAAGTGAGCCTCATTGTTCCTCAGGAAAGGGAGTTTACAAAGGAAACAAAAACTCTCATACACAGCCAGGGGGAGGGCAGAGCTCTGACTCTGATAAGAATCCAGCCAACCAACAGATACACTCTCCCCCTGGGAAGAGTCACTCAGTCAACAACCTGTATTAAGGACTCCTGAGGTAGTTATTCCAGAAAGGAACTTCGCTGGAACCTACGCTGCGCTTGGAGAAATTTCAGGTTTCTACTCCGTTTCCTCTTTAGACTGTGCACCCAGACATTTTCCCAGAGCAACAGCCGCACTCCAAAGATTCAGAGGAGCCAGAGACTCCTTCAGCAAAAGCTAAGGAGACAGACTTCCACCCAGCCCGCCTCCATTCGATTTTCTCCGAGGACCCGTAAGGAGCCAAGGCTCCCGGCTGCGCAGCGGGGGTTCGTGGATGCTGGGTGCGCGCTGGACGCGGAGGCTGGCCCTTCCCAGGTGCGTGTGGAGCGCGCGCTGGGTAGATGAGTGTGGAAGGGTCCTAGGCCCGAAGGCTCTCGCCGTGAGGACGCAGAGTGTACTTTTGGTGCGTGCAGACGGGTCAGCTCCCTCCCGGTGGGCGTGAGGGGTGGGGTCACAACTCACTAGTGTGGGGGAGGGGAGCCAGCCACTCACCTGCTGCGAGAGTGAAAGAAGAGGGACCAGGCAAGGGTGGAAAAGAGAATTAGGCGAGCAAGGTAAGCAGGTTCTGAGCTCCTCCCCTCCCGCGGGCCAGGGGCGTGGGGAGTACCTTCCACCAACCTCTGACCCGACCAGTCGATTCCTCCCTAAACTCCGAGAAAACTTACACAACAGGATCTCCAAAACGAAGAGGCGCAACAGTTTCTTCTCGGCTTGCGCCTTCGTCCCCATCGCGACCAGGATCCCGATACGATACAACAGCCGCCGACGGACTCCGGGGAACAGACACAGCTCCGCAGACTGCAGCTCCGCAGACTGCAGCGCCGGGACTAAGAGCCAGCAGCCAGGTGGAGCCCCGCCCGGCCCCGCCCTCCGCGCCTGATTGGCCGGCTCCCCACCCCTGCACGTTCCGATTGGTGGAAGGAACCGCCGCTCCGCAGAGCGAGTCACCTCTGCCAGGTGCTACCCCGCCGCTGCTCCCCGTCAGGGCGCACTGGCGCCTTTCCCCACACGAGCTGCCTCTGATTGGCCCAGGAGACTGTCGCGTCAGAAGACGGATTCCTCACCTTCAGCAGCTGACGGCTCCCTTCTTGGTTGGTGTTCCTGAAGTGGGGACTTCCTGCCTGGCTGGGTTCTCAGTTGGAGCTGGAGGGCTGTGAAGTACCTCTAACGGGGAGGTAGGGAAGGCAGTCGTGCTGTGGGATTCACGGAGACGGGCTTGTTTGGGGTTTCGTGTTTGTTTGAATGTAAATTGCCTAGTGCAACTGCACCTGCAGTTTGGTGCTGCAGAAACCTTGGTCCTGCCCCTTGGCAAGTGAAAACCACATGTGAATATGGGAGGGTGGGGGAGAAGACCGGGAGAGAAGTGGAATGTTGCCTTGACACCACCTCCAAACTGTTCCTCTGTCCACCCCACCGGCAGCGTTCACAGGCTTTGAGAGATGAACTGCGCTGGGAGGAAGAAAGGGAAAAAAACAAGGGAAAGGGAGCTCAACTGGAAAATGGGAGCCTGGGCAATATAGTCCCAGTTACTCCGGAGGCGGAGCTGGGAGGATGGCTTGAGCCCGGAGACGGAGGTTGCAATGAGCTTACGTCACTGACCTCCAGCCTGGGCGACAGAGCCAGGCCCTGTCTCAATCAAACAAATAAGAACGACAACAAAAAACCCACAACAACACGACTTGGGAAAAGCCGAATTACATTATCTCAACAAGAAAGTTAAACAGATGTACACAAAACACACCCAGATGATACAAACTGAGCTGAACATGCTCTGTAAACATCTCTGGGTGTCTGTGGATATGTCCTTTACACATGTTTGATCTGTGAACAGGTCCCTACATTTCAGAACTATTTGTTTTCTCACCGTGACTAATAGTTGGGTGCTGACTAAACCACCTTTTTTCTATAGACAATGTTGATACTCAAACTTTCTGTTCATATTTATATTGTTATATCATTTTTAATTGAAATTCATGCTCAACACCTTTACTAGTTGTAGTTTCTATTTTAAGATGATTTATTTTTAACTGTGTTAAGTATATGCAGACTGTAGAAAAAACTTACTTAGCATTACCTCATTGCAAGTGAAAAGACCACATTTTTATCCAAAAGAATGTATTGTTTGACATTTTGCCTTTTTCACCTTTGCCCTCATTCCTTTGTTCCCATCTGTTCCTCAAAAGTTCTGCTTCTGGTTCCATCCAATGTAAAACAGCGTTTATTAAGCACCTACTGGGTGCCATAAGGGAATACAAGTACATACAAACCACAATCCCTGACTTCAAATGGCTTACGATCTACTTCCAAGAGTAGCACAGAAGACAATATGGAAGCCAAGGAGAAACATCCTACCACTAACTTGAAACAAGTGTTTTGGTGCCTGCCAAACACAAAACTCTGTTCTTTACCCTCAAAGAAATGTAAAGTCTTGGTTGGGCACAGTGGCGTGTGACTGTAATCCCAGCACTTTGAGAGGCCGAGGCAGGTGGATCTCCTGAGGTCAGGAGTTCAAGCCCAGCCTGACTAACATGGGGAAACCCCGCCTCTACTAAAAATACAAAAATTAGCTGGGCATGGCAGTATGCACCTGTAATTCCAGCCACTCCGGAGGCTGAGGCAGGAGAATCACTTGAATCCAGGAGGCAGAGGTTGCGGTGAGCCGAGATCATGCCATTTTACTCCCTGGGCGACAGAGCCAGACTCTATCTCCAAAAAAAAAAAAAAGATAAAAAAAGATGGAAATGCTTGTATGCCAATAGCAATGATCCAGTAAAGAGGAAGAAACTAATGATGTGTGGAAAAGAGAGGCTAGGTGCAACGGCTCATGCCTATAATCCCAGCACTTTGGGAAGCCAAGGCAGGAGTATCGCTTGAGCCCAGGAGTTCTAGACCAGCCTGGGCAACAGAGAGAGAGACCCCTGTGTCTACAAAAAATAAAAATTAAAAAATTAGCCGGGCATAGCAGTGCTTGTGGTCCCAGCTACTCCGGAGGTTGAGGTGGGAGGATCCTTTGAGCCTGGGAGGCAGAGGCTGCAGTGAGCCGAGATCATGCCACTGCATTCCAGCCTGAGTGACAAAGCAAGACCCCCCTCTCAAAAAGGGGGTAGGGGGAGAACAGTTGTGGTATAAAGTAATAGAGGAGAGAAGAGATGGTACCCTGAGCTCAAGTTGAGAGTTAAAAGAAAAAGAAAACCAGCCACCATAACAAGAGAAGCATGTGGTACAGCTCATAGATCTGTTGGTGAGAACATAATGGCAATTTCTCTGATTTCTTCAGAGGTAAACTCATTAGCTGAGAGTGCACAGGAAAAAGAAACTTTAGGAAATCTAGAGAGGAGGCCGGGCATGGTGGCTCACACCTGTAATCCCAGCACTTTGGGAGGCAGAGGTGGGCAGATTACCTGAGGTCAGGAGTTCGAGACCAGCATGACTAACATGGTGAAACCCTGTTTCTACTAAAAATACAAAAAATTAACCAGGGGTGGTGGCACACACCTGTAATCCCAGCTACTTGGGAGGCTGAGGCAGGAGAATCACTTGAACCTGGGAGGCGGAGGTTGCAGTGAGCGGAGATCTTGCCATTGCACTCCAGCTTGAGCAATAAGAGCGAAACTCCATCTCAAAACAAAGGAAATCTAGAGAGTAGGGAGAAGTGGAGACTGAAAAGGTACACACTAGTGGCTGGGCACAGTGGCTCACACGTGTAATCCCAGCACTTTGGGAGGCCAGGCCAGGTGGATCACTAGAGTTCAAGACCAGACTGACCATGGCAAAACCCCGTCTCTACTAAAAATGTAAAAATTAGCTCGGCATGGTAGCTTTCACCTGAAATTCCAGCTACTCAGGAGGCTAAGGCACAAGAATCGCTTGAACCCAGGAGACAGAGGTTACAGTGAGCAGAGATCACACCACTACACTCCAACCTGGGTTATAGAGTGACACTCTGTCTCAAAAAATAAAAAATAAAATAAAAGATACACACTAGAGAAGTGTGTTAGAACTGGTGAGCAGTGTTAAATGCCTACTAGGCATTTTGGACATAAATTTAAGAAGATACCAGACACACTGGTGTGAATTTTATTCCAGCTGTTTGACCACAGGGATAGAGTAAGTGGTTTGTTGTGTTTAACCACAGTTAGAATGCGCCTAAGCAAGGAATTTAGAGCATCAAGGAAGCTAAAGAAGTTTGCAAGGGAGCAACATTTTATTAATTGTGTGCCCTTCCATAGCTTTTTTTTTGATAACATAAGCAATTATATATCCATGTTGCCTTTTTTCTTTTTTTTTTTTTTTTTTTTTGCCTTTTTTCTTTTTTTTTTTTTTTTTTTTTTTTTTGAGACAAAGTATCGCTCTGTTGCCCAAGCTGGAGTGCAGTGCCTGGATCACAGCTCACTATAGCCTTGTCCTCCCAAGGCTCAGGTTATCCTCCCACCTCAGCCTCCTGATTGGCTGGGACTACAGGTGCACACCACCATGCCCAGCTAATTTTTCTTTTTGTAGAGACAGGGTTTCCCCATTTGCCCAGCCTGGTCTCAAACTCCTGGGCTCAAGCAATGCACCTGCCTTGGCCTCCCAAAGTGCTAGGATTATAGGCATGAGCCACCGCACCTGGCCTTATACTTCTTTTTTACACAAAAGGTAATATACTACATTTTTTTCACTTCATAATGTGTCTTGGAGATCTTTCATAAGTACACTGAGAGCTTCCTCATTCTTTTTTGTAGCCACATAATATTCTATTGTATGCTTGTACTGTTGTGTTTAGCCAGTTTTAAATTATAGACACTTCAATTACTTTCAGTCTTTTGCTAATGTAAATAATATAATGAATAAATAATACACATATCATTTCACATGTATGCAAGTTTATTTGTAGGACAAATCACCAGAAATGTAAATGTTGGGTCAATGTGTATATTCGTTTTTGTTTGTTTTTGTTCTTTTAGATTTCTGCAGAGACTTGGAACAGTTTTTGTTTGTTTGAGACAAGGTCTTGCTCTGTCGCCCAGGCTGGAGTGTGGTGGTTGGATTATAGCTAACTGCAGCCTCAACCTCCTCGGCTCAGGTGATCTCACCTAGGCCTCCTGAGTAGCTGTGACTACAGGCCTGTACCACATTGCCTAATTATTATTATTATTTTTTTTTTGAGACAGTTTCACTCTTGTTGCCCAGATTGGAGTGCAATGGCCTGATCTCTGCTCACTGCAACCTCCGTGTCCTAGGTTCAAGCAATTCTCCTACCTCAGCCTCCCAAGTAGCTGGGATTACAGGCATGAGCCACCAAGCCCGGCTAATTTTGTATTTTTAGTAGAGTCGGGGTTTCTCCATGTTGGTCAGGCTGGTCTCGAACTCCCAACCTCAGGTGATCCGCCTGCCTTGGCCTCCCAAAGTGTTGGGGATTATAGACATGAGCCATGGCACCCAGGCATTTTTTGTATTTTTTGTAGAGATAGGGTTTGGTCATGTTGCCCAGGCTGGTCTCAAACTCCTGGGCTCAAGCGATTTACCCCCTTCAGCCTCCCAAAGTGCTGGTATTACAGGCATGAGCCACTGCTCCTGGCCCCTAAGGAAAAGTTATTATTTTGACTCATATTGACAAATTGCCCTCAATAAGTATTGTCCCAATTTATGTTTACATAATCTATTAGCATGCCTGTTTTCCTAGTCTTGCCAAAACACTGTTTTATCACACATTTGAGTTTTTGTCAATCTGATAAACATAAATTGATACCTCAGTGTAAATTTGCATATCTCTTATTACAAGTGACCTGAGCATCTCCCTGGGTTTAAGAGCCAGTTGTGGCCGGGCGCAGTGGCTCACACCTATAATTCCAACACTGTGAGAGGCTGAGGCAGGTGGATCACCTGAGGTCAGGAGTTCAAGACTAGCCTGGCCAACATATAGTAAAACCCTGTCTCTACTAAAAAATACAAAAATTAGCTGGGCATGGTGGCACATGCCTGCAATCCCAGCTACTTAGGAAGCTGAGGCAGAAGAATCACTTGAACCCAGGAGGCAG